GTGTAAGATATGACAAAATAATAATTTATAAATTATCAAGGGTGCATGGGGGAGGGGAGAGTGGGGAGGGAGGAGAGAAATGAGGAGCGGATACTAGGGGCTCAAGTGGAAAGCAAATGTTTTGAGAATGATGAGGGAAACAAATGTACAGGAGTGCTTGACACAATGGATGGATGTGTGGACTGTGATAAGAGTTATACGAGCCCCCGATAAAATGATTTAATAAAAAATAGTAATTAAAAAAAAAAAGATGCACAACACTCTTCATAGGCCACACCATAGGATTCAATGTGGAAACTCTACTAGTTGAACTGAGCTTTATCTCAAACTCACCCGTAGCAGACTTACGGCACTGACTCTGCAGGCTGAAACAGTGGAGGATTCGAAGGAGCAGATCATGGCTATCCCAAGGTCATGAAATTGGCGGTCACTGGACTTGGCTCTGACCCCTTGCTTTGAGGGAGCCCAATGAATGATAGCTGGAGACTGCCGTATGTTTACTATTTTAATGCCCTCCTTGCTTCCTTATGACACGTATTAATCTGGTAGGCATGGTTATGCTATGGTGAGGGAGTGTTATTGAAAATTTTGTCCTATCACTAACCTCTACTGTTTGTGTAAGTAGTGTCTAGCCACTTAAGAGGTGAATCTGTATAAGTCAATATTTCATGCAATGGGGTTTGTAGCCAGTCTACAGAAAAGTGGGTGAAGGAGACTTCAGACAGTGTAAGGTATGACAAAATAATAATTTATAAATTATCAAGGGTTCACGAGGGAGGGGGGAGCAGGGAGGGAGGGGGAAAATGAGGAGCTGATGCCAGGGGCTTAAGTGGAGAGCAAATGTTTTGAGAATGATGAGAGTAACGAATGTACAAATGTGCTTTACACAATTGATGTAAGTATAGATTGTGGTATGAGTTGTATGAGCCCCCACTAAAATGATTTAAAAAAATTCTATACCACTGGCTAAATTAGTGACACTTTCAATACAATTGCCTTATGTCCCAGGGGGTGATTTATAATGTTCTTTATCATAAAATGCTGTCTCTGAAGTTAACCAAAGACACATATAAACCATAGATAAATGAATGGATTGGGGGTTCACACTTAATTGTACCTCAGATCTAGGCATGGCCCTACTCCATCCTCACTCTATGAAGAGATCACTGAAGGAAGATATGGGTGTGGTAGCTAAGAGTGGTGAAGAAACCAGATTGTGATCAGAAAGACTAGTATCTGAGGCTTTTCGTCAAACAAGCAGTCATCTCATTGAGGCATCACTGTCACATGGAAGAAGCACACCAGCCTGTGTGATCCAAGGATTGTAAACAATATAATCCACATCCAAAGGAGGGAATGGTATCAGAGCTTACATTCTGCACACCTAGTTTGCAGAAGGCTATGGACTGCGATATAAACCCAAAATCCATTTGCAGGGTCCCCACCTGGATTTAGCCCTGGGGAATGCCCTCCAATCATAGTTGAGGGACGTGACTAGTTCTGTTATCAGACAGAGAGCATTGAAAAGTTAGATAAAAATGTAATACCTTATCATTTAATTTCCCTTCTGACCCATTTTAAAGTTTTTTTTCAATTCTTAATATTTTCGATTTTCGTTTCAATTGAGATCTTTCTATGTTTTACTTTGTCATTGTTGTTGGCAGGGTTTTTTGTTTGTTTGTTTTTGCTTATTAGCTTCCTGTGTGTTTTGCATGATTTTCTGTATATGAAATCCTGGGTAAGTAGATTTGTGGAGATAGTAACTGAATTCATAATTACCTAGGCACATGGCAAGGGAAGGGGGGGAGAAATGGGGAGCTAACAACAATGTATGAGAAGGAAATGTTCTGAAATTTATTTATTGTAGTGATGATTGCACAACTCTTCTTAATATGATTGAATGATTAAATTTCATGGTCTGTGAAGTATTTGCCAGTAAGATTATTCTTTAATAAAGAGCAGCATTTTCCCAGGGAGGAAGCTCAGAAAGCAGGAATGGGTAGGCCTGGAGTAGAAGGGCAGATGGAAACATTAAGCACAAGGAAGAGATGGGAAGTGTAAAAGCAATGTCATGAAACAAAGTGCTTATGAATTA